TCGCAGTGGTCTGAGATTATAGAAAATGATATCAGTTATCTCCCTTCTTTGATTTTCATTGTTCAATTGACTCACATTTTTGCCTTTGAAACGTCTGCTCTGTTACTCTTTATGCCTCATCACTTTACAACGTGGACGTTTAAATGTCGTCGTTCCTGTGCGTACACATCAGTTTGTGAAGGAGATAAAGACTACAGTTTTGATCGGATGTTCACGAAACTTATTTTATTAACGACAGCTCTGGCACAGCAAGAATGGGTTCGATTTCGATGAATTTCAACAAATAGTCTTTGAGTTATCGCCCCTGACTTAAGCAAACTGCTTTTAAAAATCGCTCTTATTCTTAAACGTTTCTCAAGTAAGAAGCATTTAAAACTGAATCCCAAATTTTAGTATATATATTATATATACATTACGTCGCTGAATAATTTAGTTCCAGATCCATGCTTTGTTTTGAAAATATTTTAACATCCTTTTAAATTCAATGTATCTCTATTGTAGTCTGTATATGAATATATAAGTCAACAATTAGAACAATATATGTCTGAATTACTCTTGTCCTTTAATGGATATCATTATTTTGTTATCGTCATAATTTAAGTGATAATGGTTCAATATATACCCAGTTAATTTATATTTATTTACTTCTCATGGAGTTCCTGATAATATTTCATATAATTCTCAGAACATTAACTAAACGAATGAATAATACCAATACCAATAGTAATTTGCTTGAATATTGATTGAGGCGTCAGATAGATGGAAGTGATTGTAGTTGTTTTTACTGATATTTTAATGGAAATAAAATGTTGATTTGTGACTGTATTATGTACAATGGATAAATACAAAATGTCATAAGCATATGATATTATTCTTGGTTTTGTCAGTTTTGTCAGTAAATTCTTGTTATAAACAACCAACAGAAATCCGCTAGTTGGTTCGTGTATCAACAACCAACAGTAATTTGCCTGTTCGATCTGGTGAATAACCAACAGTGATTTGTCAGTGAATTCTTCTGGTGAACAACCAACAGAAATTCGTCAGTTTGTCCTTGTGGTGAACAACCTACAGTAATTCGTCAGTTGGTCCTTGTGATGAACAACGAACAGAAATTCGTCAGTTTGTCCTTGTGATGAACAACCAGTAGAAATTCCTCAGTAAGTTAATTCGTGTAATTCGTATAATCAACATACAACAGTGGGTTCTTTTGATGAACAACCTTCAGAATTTTTGCATTTAATTCTTGTGGCGAACAACCAACAAACATTCTGCTTTTATTTCTTCTGAACAAACAACAGGAATTCGTCGTTTGTGAATGGAATCTCCTTGTAAGAGACACATCAGTCATGAATTATTCTGATGCGTTCGATAATGGTACAAAATGGATTAATAGCCTTAAACATTTTGGAGGGGACAAGTGTAATCGAGGCGATGGCATATATCAGCCAAATGGAATCAGGACTTTTGATATTGTTCTAATGACGTTCGAATTTCTACAGTCCATATTGTGTTTTACAACTAACTTGTTGACGCTTTTAGCTGTCCTTAAAAATCCAAAATTAAGAACTCTGCCAAATACATACGTTACTGCCTTAGCTACAGCTGATATGCTGTCAGGGGCATTTTTACTTTACGAATTCATTTTGCAATTACCAGGGATAAGACATAAGTTGAACGAGAGTTATTACTTGTGCCTCTCAGTGTTCTACTTCGTAGCTATCACGATGTACGAATCCATTTTACTTATTGCATTAATGTCCTTTGAACGTTTCATGTACATTATTTATCCCTTTCAATACGAAAGAATGTTCTCGACCAAGACTGTAAAAATATCAATAGCAATCTCTTGGGCGGTCTCTTTCATTATTCCTACGATGCCGATCCTTTCCGGTCAGAATGGAAAATTTATTGGATGTGTCTACGGAATACTTTCTGGTGATTACTATTATTACGTTATAGGCCTTGGGTTTTACTTCGCGACGTTGTTGTGTTTCTGTTTTCACGTTAACATTCTGAGAGTCGCTGCTTCTCAACGCAAGCGAATAGCTTGTTTGACTGTTGGTCAAAACTCGACTAAATACCCCAAATCACCAGTTGCCCACCACTGGCGAATGATTCAATCATTTCTACTAGTTTACACCTTGTCTTATTTATGCTGGTTTCCATGGGTGACATGTTCAATCCTACGTTCCCATTACTGTATTTCTGAAACGCTTATGGATTTGCTGTCCCTACTTGGAATGTCCAGTGGGACATTGAACTTTTTGGTTTATGGATTATTCAATGAGGATTTTCGGAAAACCTTCAAGAAACTGATTTGTGGAAAATGCCAATCCCAAAATTTCAAAGAACGAGATTGTGTGAAAGGCAGTAACACTAATCCTGTCGGTACAATGGATAAGGTCTCGTCTAGGAAGTCATCTGATGAATTACTGGTTTTACCGAATAAGACAACATCTTTAGTTTAAATGAAGAATGCTAGTCTTCAAATCCTGCCATCGGTCATCGGCATTAGTCGCATTTCTCGCTACTTGTTTTATACGTCCTCGCACAATACTCTCCAACTAAGCTTGTACAAATCATGAGCATTAGAGAGGACTTTAATTAATTGGTAACCACCATGCTTGTTGATTTACTTACCGGCTTGATGTTCGCTCTTATTTTTCTGATTATTAAGACCCTTTAACAAGTGTAAATATGACATAAGTAGAAGTGCCGAATACCAGATACCACAGATATGTAACCAATATAACGATATTCTTCTTTCAAGTAAATTTATATGTATAAATACATATATGTATTTCTGGTAATGGGGCATGTCCAAGCCAAAAATAAAGGAAATGACGTTATCTGCCGTTTCTACCTTTGTGTACCTTCGGCAGCTATACCTGGTTAAGCCCTTGGGTACTTATCAACATAACAATAAACGGTGGATTGTTTAAACCCTCTTGAAGACAATATTGTTGACATTACTTATAACAAAGATAAATTTCAAGTCAACCTAAAACCATTGAGTAGGTAAACAGTGCTGATAACTGGACTTCTTCGTTTATATCAAATAAAATCTTTTGGTGTCAACGAGTTATGTTCGGACTCGTTCAAGAGAATACGTAATAACCATTTTAGTGTAGCTTGACTTGACTATGTAAATAAGCTAAGAAGCTCGAGTTTTGATGAAAATTAGGATGTATAACAGAAAACACAAGGGAAAATTAAAATGGTTATATAGATCATCGCGAGTTTGAAAGTTTGAACAATTTACAGTCGCGAAATGTGATAGCAAACTGCTGCTGTTTGAATACATTACCTAGCCTAGCAATCTAATTTTGACTCAGTATGTATTTTGAAATGTTAGTAACTGATTGAAATATGTAATCTATCTGTGGGATCAATAAAACATTGATAAGTAGACTAGCCTAGTGTGAATATCTTTGGGTATTAAAATACCAATATGCTTGATTAATCACGTATAAATGTCCTTACTTTATTTGGGGTTTTTCATATAAATTACTTGGTCAAAGAAGCAGACTGAATTTTCTCCCAATTATGGGATATGTCAAAAACATGGATAAATATTTATGGTCCCTGTGTTCAACCAATTTGGGCTATTCGCACCTCGATCGCGATTACCTGTTCCCTATCCAAACGCAAAATGAAGAACCAACACAAGCCATCCAAGCTTTACATAAGTTATTTGGACAGAGATAACGACCTCGATAATATCTATAAAATGAAAGTCAGAAATGATATTACCAAAAATATCAACAAACAGTCCGAAAACTGAATGTTTCCAGAAATTCTGTAAATGTAATATCTGTACATTGATATGTGAACATTATGTGTGCATTATTCTCAGTACCGTTAAATAATGGTTTTGGTTTAATTATATATACGTTATAGCCATTGATTTGTTTGATGTCGTGATTTTGTTATAAATTATTTCACATTAAAACCAATAAATTGACGATGAACAGTAGGTGGTGTTTATGTAGATTATCTTGTCATAAAATTTCTGAGTTATGGTTGAGTTTACGCCCTCTCGAGCTTCAAAGGAATGTCGAGCCTAATTCGAAACAGACTGGATAATCTTCTACGTACAATCTTGCAATCGGAAAGACAAAAACTACCTTATCACATCCAAAATTAGCATAATAATTGATTATAACCTCAATTTCTGTTACGGGAAAGTAACCTTTCCCTAACACAGAGATCGTTTCGGGTAGCGCTCGATTAGCGAGTTCTGTATGTTCAGAATTCATGGACTCATCCGAAAGTTCAATAGAAACAATTGGAAACGTTAAAATTGACCTTAATGCCGTAAGGGTAAGTGCTGACAGATAATTCAAAATGGCAGAGAAAGAAATACAAAGGTTAATTTAGAATGGAACTTTTCGATTGAAATCAGAAATGGAACAGGAGGAACCTGTCCAGAATCAACCATCGAATGCTACCTTAGCCTCATCCTAATTGAAATTTGTAGCACAGTAGAAAGATAATATGTGTTACTCAAATGAAATTGACACAAAGCGCCATATTTAGAGCAAATCTTACTTAAACAATAGTATTTTATTCGAGATAATTTCTAAGCATAAGATATTCGAATGGTTTCGATTGTAAAAATATTACTTATATCTTATGTTATGACATACAAAAGAAAAGAGTAATTTGAATTCGTGGTTTGAATCGAAATGACGTTAACCTGTACATGTTTATCTATAAGTTTGTATTATTATTTAGTCAATTCAACCTGAAAGGTTGTGAAGATTGGTCACTTGTTACATGTGAATGCCCAATAACTAATGTATATACGAAAAATGCGTTATGAAAAATGGAAATGAAAAACCAGTGACTATTATTTTTAGAGTGAATTTCAAGATATTAGATGTTAGGGATTGCTAGCTGCCTTTTTGTCCCAAATTCTTAAATAAGGAACATCTGTTGGTGGTTTGTGTGATTAATTAAATTTTCGAGTTTTAGTGTGGTTCAGTCGATTTGGCATCATGGACTGGAACACAGTTTATAGTGATTCACCAAGATTAACTGCGGCCAATTCCTTCTATCAAAATGTACGCCATGGACGACTAAGATACCTCAAGGCCCTTCTAGATCGTGGTGTAAACGTTAATTGTAAAAACGATTTTGGGGAAAATGTGCTTGTAGCTGCTTTACGAATAGACAATGATGTGAAAAGACGTAAAGCATTTAAGTACCTCATCAAGAAAGGCGCTGACATACATTTCAAAGATGAAAAGCATGGACGAAGCGTGTTATTATGGGTTTGCTACTTTGGTCGTGAAAATGAACTTTCAGTTCTGTTGAAGGAGGTCGGATCAGAGCTCGACATCCAAGAAAAAGACAACCAGGGATCAACGTGTCTTCATTATGCTACCAGCATGAATAGTTCCACCATGGTACTAGCTCTGGTGAAAATGTTTAACCGCATCAGGATCTCGGTGGATATTGCTGATGGCCAAGGATTTACACCTTATATTCTAGCTCGTCGTCTTGGTCATAGAGATGTCGCCAACATTCTTCTGAAGCAAGGAAATGCCTCCCCTGCGCAATTTGACTCAAAAAGGTTTCGAACATGCAGGGAGTGGTCACAATATGGCAAATGGGAACGTTACTCTGAGGTTAAAACACGTGAGATGAAGGAGATGGCAATAAATAAAGTGAGAGGCGATTTCAAAACTGCTAGTGAAGAGTTTCCAAGTTCACGATCTACTTCCGACAGCGACCAAGCAGCTTCTGAACCGGAGAAAATAGAACTACCAAGTTTAAACATACAGAAACTATCATCAGCCCAGCAGTCAGTAACACCAGAAGATAATGTTGATGGATTTAAAAGATTAAGAACCGGGAGCATAACAGCTATGTCATTACTGGACATGACGTCACTTGATCGAGGACATTTAGTCCGCAACTTTCAACGTAGTGAATTTGATACCACCAAGAGTGCGGACTACAACAAAGATATATATGGAAATCTTAGCTCCATTATGCAAATTCTATCACAGCAAAACTCTACCTCATTCAGAAAATCTGTCAAAGAAGCGCCTCCACCAGTTCATATTTTGGAGCATATAGAATCGAAGCCAAAGGTGTCCAGTTTGGCTATCATTATGGGAAAACGTAAGAATGGCGTGAAAAGGAAACAACCGTCAATCAGAAACAACAGCTCTCCGCATAAACTGTAGTGACCCTTTGAAGAAAAACAACCTGAAATCAGTTTCAACATTACCTCAAATACAAGTAAACAATAAAGTCATATAATATTTTAATGGATATTGACTACATGCCAACAGTTTTAAATTTAAAAGGTTTGACGAACACACACAAAGTTGTATTCATTGTTATCGATCCAGCGAGGTCAGGTGTAAGCTCTGATATCTAACCTGTTTTGTTCAACTTGTACACAGTGAAAAAACATGCAAAACTACGCCTTACTACTAGATTGAAAAATTGCCATGCCTGTCCTCTATATTGTATGTACTGTAATTAATTTATAATCTTTGTTATATTACATAATGGACACATTTCGGTAATTCGTATTTTCTTTTATGAAAATGGATATTTCTGTCAGCTCTTTGAATAAATGTTCTATATGGAGATTATTCTCTAACAATAACTCTCTTGAGTTAAGGGGGCGGTGTGTAAAATCTTTATATTAAAATATTGTAAATTATTCATGTAAATATTTCTTACATATGCTATTTATATCTATGTATTTTCTTGAGCAATCTGATTTTTTTTTAAAGTGGTGATTAAAATCAGAGCGCACTACTACGTGTAAAAGTATTGAAATTTCGCGAATATTACCCTATCTGGTTATCGCATTTTAGATTTACATGTACTCACTCTGTGTCATTTTGATTCCGAACTCTTCTATTTCTGTTTTCACAGAGGGCCGTATCATTCAAATCACAATAACAATAACAAATATCAAATAACTCTACAACACATTGTAAATGACTGTTTTCTTCACTATAACAATTAGTCCATCAATGCACGTGTTTCGTGCATATTCAGCACGTGATCAAGCACGTGATCGATGTCCACATGATTGGTTCATTTGATCACGACTCCGTCTAATGATATTTAAATTGGGTACAGCGGTGCTTTTACTTTCTCACATATATTATACGCATTTCATAATAATGAAAATGTGAGGATTTTCTTACTGGGAATTTGGCTGTGAAAAATAACATACACACAGCGCCAAGGATGGATGGGAGAGTTTGACTCGAGTTCTTCTCTGAAAAAACTTCATATTTCAAGAGAAGTAAATTTGTCCTATATTTCCAAGATATCATTGGCAAATCTGCACATTAAAAAAATATTATTGAATTATCCAAGTAATACCAATTAATATATTCATTGTTGTCTGAAGCAAAATAAGAAATCACTCCAAGTGAGTTATCTCCCATTCTACGCTCATTATATTGGAGATTTACACAGAATAGCGGTAAATTTGAATTTGGAACAATATTATATGAAGCATTTATAGGAAGGAGAGATGCCAAAAGGGAAGCCAAAGAAAAGTGCATTATCAGTAGAAGAAGAGAGGTAAGGAACTGTAGGAAGTTATGAAAAAAATTGAAAATGGATTACACTATCACTCTTTGTATCTGCTATTCTCGATTCGGTGATCTCCCTTTAACTTTATAAATTCAACTCACCTATAGGACTACATCAGACTTGTAACAAATGAAAAGCTTCTCCCATAAGAATAAATTTATTCTTAGTCTCCAGAATTATAATAGGTTATAGATTCCTATTGTAGTAATGCCATGCTAATGTGGAATGAATAACGTATAACCAACGTATTTTGCCGTAGCCTATTAAACTCCATTACATTTCAGTCCCAGATATTTTCTGAACCCCGAGTCAGTGAGTCGCCATCTATATTGTTCAATATGTCAAGAAGTATTTAGTGAGCCACAGAGAGCACCATGTGGTCACAGTTATTGCAAAAAGGTAAATAAAATCATGAAATTTCAGTAATATTTCTATGGTTAATGGTTATACCAATAATTCCATATTTGTTAATTAGTGTCCATGTATAACTCAATTTAGACAATGTTAAATGGTCAATGGTTAACTGAATTTTTAATAATGTTTCAATATGTAAATATAAAACGTCAACGATACTCGAGCCTTTTTTTCTTTTTATATGCAAATGGCTAATGAATTATTTTTTTTGTGGTTAGTAAAATTTCAATTATTTTTCAGTGTATAAGTCAATGGTTAAAGAGTAGCAAAACTTGCCCAGAAGATAGGTAATCTGGAATTTTTCATTTTGCATTGCTATACCGGTAATAAAACCTATTCTGCAATTGATGATGGGCATAAATTGATTTATATTAAATTATTAAACTCTTGTATTTATATAATATAATTATTGGCAATGAATCAAGTACTATAAGTGAATTATTAGAATATTTTATACTATATTTGAATTTTAATATAATTTTCTCACTTCAGAAAGCCAATATTACCATCCTCGTTACACCATGATTTTATCTTAGAGAATATTATTGGTGATCAAATGGTATGTTTTAAAACAGATTCTGTGGTGATGATAGGAACATCTTTTCAATCGCTACTCTTCTCATTTTACTTCAAACGACCTTCCTACACGCAACATTTGAGAAAAATCGCACTTAAATAATTATGACATGTCACTTGTCAGCTATTTCAAAAGGCACTAAAAACGATCAGTCTTCAATTTGAAGTAGATACTCAGAATATTTGTAAATTTTATTCGCTAAGAAATTGACCAGTTTATGGACGGCTACATGACTGCGATTTTTTCAGATTTCTGCCTTGAATTTTAATTGAGACATTTTTGGTTTTCCACATCAGCTATCGTTTAAGTGCTAAGTCAGAATGACTAACTCGGAGAATTGGTCCAATTTGAGTAGAACGACAATCAAAACTGAGCGCACTGCGACACAGATTGATTTCCAACCGTCCTTTTCAGGTTGCATGTCCTTATCGATATAGTGGTTGTGAATTTGTTGCACAATTAGAAAGGTTAACTAGTCACAAGAAATCCTGTGAGTTCAATCCTGTTAACCTTCCAGGTTTTCTCCGTGAGCGAAACGAGAGTGCTACTGGTACACCGGATAAAGTAATGACCGAACCGACCACCAGTGAGGACATCAGTTCTCCTGCCAAACCATCGCTAATGATGAGGCTCTACAGAAGTGGCAATGACCAGAAGCGGTTACTTAAATCAATGTTCGAGGCAAAGGAAAACATGGCACAGAGTGCTGATAGTGAGATCGTGGTTCTTGATTAAATGTGTATGCTGAGCCACGATATAATGATTAGCTATTCTGCTTCTGCACGTTATCATGCCTTGATTTGTACTGTACTCATAATTGAAGAAGGTGTATTTATTTTTTGCAATCGTTTTTTGTATATTTTCTATTACGTTAAATTATTTGTATACTGCAGTGAATGTTTTTCAATTTCTCATTTCTTCAGTGGAAAAAAACCTTGATCTCAATGATATGTACGCCTTCAGTACGATGGCATTGGTCTCAAGAATTAACATTTCATACCATTTCTTCATTAATCTTAATAAATTTATAATTTCTGATTCATAATACCAATAACTGGAAATCTTATTACGGTAACCAAGATCTTTGGATTTATAACCCTTATTTTCATTTCAATTCTTTAATAACAAACAAGATTCATATAATTTCTCAAATAATAATGAAAAGTAGATATTTATTTACATCAACCTTATATGTGTTTATTATATACCAAAATGTACAGTTTTGTCATTATTTCATTTACAGTAGTAATAATGTTGCTGTTTCTGCAATAATACGATAATCAATCAATTTAAATCGCCACAAACCGTGACGATGTTGATCACGAACATAACATCTTCAATATGTCAACCTATTAAAACTCCGACTTATACCTTGACTGCGATAGCCACCTTTTTGTATTAAGGAAGGAAGAGATTTGATTGGATTTTTTTCGCCAGCATATACAGCCACTCAGAGCCCTCAACAGAAAGATTGTAACATCTGATTTGCTGTACTCACTTCCGCACAATCCGATCAAATCCTTGCATTAACAAACAAGTTGTAAGACGAAGTTCGTGATGGCTTGACATTGTCAACTATAATGATATTAGGTTTGGTATAAACATAACAATCAACCATAATGCACATACAGAATAATTAATACGTCCCACAGACGTTTCAGCATTCGTACAATATACAAGTTATGTTTATACATTAACAGAATATGTATTTACATAGAATTTTCTGGCATTATACAATATTGTGTTGCGTCAAATATTGATAAATATTTGATTCAAGATGGATCGGGCTTTGTTGGAATTGAAGTATCAGAATTGAAAAACGTATAATGAATTTCTGACTTGCAGCTTGGTCTAAACCCGTAGTCTTTACAATGTAACCAAGTAAAACGGGCAGAATCTACAAACTTTACAATTACATGATTTATGCCAATAAACAGAGATAGAAGAACATAATCAAAAAGGTTGGAGAATTGTTTTTACAAAAAATGGAACACTGAATGCACCGAAGGTTTATACACGATTAAAGCTCAAATGAAATAGATTTAAATATAATCGAGGAAAACATTTTGTTATGTTTTGCATAGGAGCATACAGTTTTCGATGCTACAAATTGGAAGATCCCACAGCCTTTAAAGATCGTTAACACAAAATTGGTATTTTTACTTCAATGTTGACTGATGTACAAATATTGGTATTTTTACTTCGACGTTGAATGATGTACAAATATTGGTATTTTTACTTCAACGTTGATTGATGTGCAAATATTGGTATGTTTACTTCAATGTTCACTGATGTACGTACAAATATTGGTATTTTACTTCGACGTTGAATGATGTACAAATATTGGTATTTTTACTTCAACGTTGACTTATGTACAAATATTGGTATGTTTACTTCAACGTTGATTGATGTGCAAATATTGGTATTTTTACTTCAACGTTGATTGATGTACAAATATTGGTATTTTTACTTCAACGTTGACTTATGTACAAATATTGGTATGTTTACTTCAACGTTGATTGATGTGCAAATATTGGTATTTTTACTCCAACGTTGATTTATGTACAAATATTGGTATTTTTACTTCAACGTTGTCTTATGTACAAATATTGGTATTTATACTTCGACGTTGACTAAAGTACAAATCTTGGTATGTATCTTTCGACGTTGATTGATGTACAAATATTGGTATGTTTACTTCAATGTTGACTGATGTACAAATATTGATATTTTACGTCAACGTTGACGAAATTTTGGTATTTTTCCTTCGAACGTTGACTAATGTACAAATCTTGATATTTTTACTTCCAACGTTGACTAATGTACAAATCTTGATATTTTTTCTTCGACATTGACTGGTGTAGAAATATTGGTATTTTTACTCCAATGTTGACTGATGTACACATATTGGTATTTTTACTTCGACGTTGACTAATGTACAAATCTTGGTATTGTTACTTCGACATTGGCTGATGTAGAAATATTGGTATTTTTTCTTCAACGTTGACTGATATACAAATATTGTTATTTTTACTCCCAACGTGGACTGATGTAGAAATATTGATATTTTTACTTCAAAGTTCCCTGATGTACGTACAAATATTAGTATTTTTACTTCAACGTTGACTGATGTACAAATATTGGTATTTTTACTTCAACGTTGACTGATGTACAAGTATTGGTATTTTCACTGCAAAGTTAATTCATGTATTTTAGTATTAAACTTTATTTGTACATACGGCACACTTATATTCTCTCATTCTTTCAATCACTCTTACGTCTACTTTTTAGCGACATTGCTTACATCTATTCAAAATCACTTAAAATATTCACATCTGACACAGATTACGTGTAGAATTTCAAGATCACAAGAGCTAGTCTGTGAATAAACAATTGTGATCATACAATACGATTTTTACACACCTTATAAAGGTTCAATATTTGAAATATATAGACACACCTTGAAAAAAAAACAATGAAATTAAAGAAATAATATTCCAAATTCTGTTAGTAACCAACTTAAACACTTTCGGAACAAACGTTTAATGAACTCCATAATTCAAATCACCATGCAGTCACATGATGGTGAATTATCAAATTGCACTTTCAATATCTATTCTACCACCGAGACCCATGTAATAATTTCCGTCATATTGTCTGTTCCTACCAGGTCTCGCTTCACCAGTCTCTCCTTCACCGTCCGTATCACTAATTGGTTCTATTTGATCAACGTCTGTTATGATTTCATTGTTTATGGCGCCTAACGTATCTAATTTGGCTTCAGCCTCTTTTATTGCAACGGGATCTGGTTCCAGTCCATCGGGGTTCTTTGTAGTACCAACGGTCCGATGTCTGGGTACACCATTCGGTTGTCGTGTAGCCTCGGGATCGTATCGCCATACATCACTAGAATCTGACGTACTGATTCGTCTGAAATGAATAATTAATTCAGTTTTTGAAATAGGTCAGACTCTTCCGTATGGTTTTTCTTCTCAATCAATCTTTTATTTTCACTTACATGCATACTTATTTCTTTCTCATCTAGGGAGATTTTTACACATTTTTGAGATACTTAAGAGATGTTCTCTAGTTCGTAGAGCTTGACTGAGAAAGGCGCTGACTCTTACAGAAGATATTCTACTAACTCTTAAATTATCCGAGGTAGATGGTAACTCATGATTCATCTTTTACTCATTAATCGTTAATCTTTTGGTTGTTGCTGCATCGACTGAACAAAGACTTTAATATCTAATTTCTCTATTATATATTTTCTTACTGTTCTTTTGCTGCATGGGACATTTAGTCTTGATCATAACAATCTGAGAATTTTAATTTCGATATGTTTTTAATGCACGAGGTAATATAACCGGAAGTCGTATATCAATTCATCCACGACTGTGAATAGATGTAAGAAATCAGCTTGGCAGGTAAATATTTAAATGATAATATACCTTTAAAACGGATATATCTGGCTCTTGGTATCGCTTGTTGTGGTATATTAAATTAAATAGAACTGGTCTGACTTGAAAGTTAGAGAAGACCAAAGATAATTGAATATCTTTTTAAACAAGATGTAAACTTAGGCAGCCTGGAGCCGTTTCTCTAATAAACCCAATTAGACCCACTTACATTAATATTTAAAAATAACATCATATTCATAATTCAATTATTGCATCACAAGAGTACTCGATAACATGATTACTAAACTCGAAGGATAACTATCAGGGTCGTTAACACATGTGTGTGTGGTTTTTAAAACCAGAATTAAGATATTGTGTTTTTTTTTTCAAATTCAAAAGAAATCACTATTTGACACATCATTAGTTTGATTTATCAATGCGTGGCGTACACTCGTGTCTCGATATATATTTCTATTATTTTAATCTATAAGAAGCTCTATGGTTTTTTTTTCGGTCATAGTTTGGGTGTTACGTCGTTTTTAGACAAATGAGCCCAATAGCAACCTGTATCTTATGATAATAAGATCCCAGGTTTCAAACTTGGGGTACTGATAAACAACATAAAAGAATAAAATTGAATGGTGCTCGGTCAAATATAATATGGTGTATATATCGAATTGTCTATGGTGTATGTGTGATACCAGCAAAATTTGATTCGACTAAAAATTTATTTAATCCTTCAAACATAGACTCTCTGGAATAAATTTCAGATAATGAAATTTATTTTGATCATTGTCAGCCTTGAACGCCCATGATGTATCTGCTTTATGTCTCTAAAGGGAGACAATCTAATTATTGGTAAAGAGATAGTTACATGAGAGGTATACTTACGCTAATTGTTTTTGTAGCTTATTTATTTTAATCAAAGCCAGATCCAGCTCGTGTCTCACTTTCCATAATTGCGTCTCGCAAATAGGATCTTTACATTTATGTTTCTTATGTAAGTCTATGGCTTCCATCACAGATTGTTCAAAGTTTAAAGATCTACCCATACTCTGCAATGATAAATAGGAGAAATCAGCTTAGCCGTGATATGCTAAAAATAGAAAACATGCATGACACTTTGTCGAAGTTCAGAGCACAAGTTTTTGTGACCATGATGATAAACGTTTGGCTATAACTAATTTCCAGCCCCAAATGGATATTTTGACAGATATCGTCTACACCAGTCGACAATTTTCAAAATAGCTACCAGAGGCTGGAATAGAGGCAGATGTGCTGTCTAGGCTAGACCCACCCTATTTCAATAACAGACCTTGCTTGTCAGTTGTATACTACTTAATTCACCAACTTACCAAACTAACTAAAGAACAACAACCACACTTATCCCATTTTCTAATAGTTTTACGACCAAAACGGAAATACATATGTTCTAATATCAGCAAAATGGATCCAAGAACCATTCCACCAGCTAATAGAATGAAAGCACTTGTAAAATTAGGTATCCCTAAAGTCTGACTGGACATCCCCTTTTTCTGTTTCTTATGACAGGCACCAGCTAACCAGAATTTCTTCAGCCTTTCTATCTCCCCTAGAACAAGTTAAGAAAAATCTGTAGGAGACAAAATACTTTTGTATTACCATAGTTAAATGTGTATTAAAAGCATGCATTAATGGAATGTTTGCTTTTAAGAGAATACATATATATGGATATGCCAATCTGCTATTAAAACCATATGAAAGCAAAGTTTGACAATAGAATTTGAATTTGACAATGTACTCTTGAAAAACAGTTATGGTAATTGAAATTATGTATTAAGAGCTCTGGGTGCCAATGGGATAGATATATAAATAATTACCAGCATCCTGTAAGGCCAATAAGGCATGGTTGACTTTATCTACCCAAGGAGACCCTTTTGGGAAACCAACACCATAACCAGACATAGCATACCATTTACCCACAGCTCTAAGTTTACATCCTTCATCTTTCCCAACATAGTACTGTAGCACTGTAGCATCGTAGATGAACGCTTGAATGTCCCTAGTAAAAAATCGGTAATGTTTGTAAAAGAAGGAATAGGAGCTTCAATAAGACAAGAATTTTGTGTTCAAATAATTTCACCTTTTGTAAGCTTCCTTCTGGTATGTTTGCTAATCCAAATCATTCTTAGAGTAACCCAAAGCTCATCATGTTTTTTCGAAAACTAAAGAAGTAGTTCTTTCGACTACGTTAAATCTGCAAACAATTCAATACTATTTTTAAATCCTATAGAATCAAGAGACTGACGTGAGCATTGAGCAACAGAAACAAAAGATGTGGTCCGTCCACGATATTCATCTTATCATTAAGCGTATATCTTAATCTCTTGACTCACTACTTGGTTGGTAAAAATGCAACTTACTGTTTCTTAAGAGCAGCTATTCCTAATTTTACTGTAGGTTTATTATATTTCCTCATCCATCTGGCCATATCGGGGTGATTCTTGATCATATTTATTTCTGTTGTGTCGTTTGGTAATGTTGCAAATTTAAACGGAGGTTTGGTGGCATATGGATTCTTCAACTGTAATTAGATATAAGCTTGCTGTTTATTCGCACAATTTAATTGGTTCTTTGGGTCCTCATCCCTGTCCTTATAACGATTTTTTATTATTCTTTTATGTTATTAGCAAACGAGAAGTAAATGTGTATGTGATATGCGAAATTTAAACAGATAACATCGAGTCATAATATATTCACGTTTGTGCCTTGGAACCATTAAAACCAGTCACTTTCTGAATGCATTTATATGGGTAACTGGTAGGGACAGGTGTTTGCCTTAATGAAAAGTGTAAAATTTCCGAAATACTGATTTTGTGATTAAGGTATATGATTTTTAGAATATTGGAACTTTGATTATAAACTGTACTACAATGAAAAATATTACGAAACTTACTCTCCAATCCTGTATGCCAGATAAATCATAATATTCTTCTTTGGTTATCATAAAAGCTGCAAGGTTGGCAGTGTAGCTGGCTAAGAACACCAAAGCGAATAAAGCCCATATATTGGCAAGGAACCGACTCGAGACGCCTCGAGGTGTATCTGTTGAAACAGCAGCACTAAATAACATGGCCCATATCAACCAGAAAGATCGGAACAACGAAAACTTGTGTTCTGAAAAAATACAGTAGGATTTCTAAGCATTGTACACAATCTGGTAAAAATGCAGATCGAGATGCTGCGTTAGCTATTAATAAAAATCACAGAATTATTATCATATTATCATAGTGACCTATAATTCGCGGTGCCTAACAAGTTATTCACATTATGGATGGCAAGTGAGGTCACGCAAAGAAATACCATCCATATCTGCAGTTTAATCAGATTGTATTTCATGAAAATCAAAGTACTTTCAATATCATCAGATCAGGGTGGTCTAGCACGAGGGTATTTAGCTTACAATGATTGTTGAAACAGACTGTATTATCCAAAGCTAGCATCCACTGGAAAGCATTACTAGCGCTTCTGGATTCATGACAACTACCTATAGCTTACATAAATATGTCCCCAATGAGCTCTCGTAACCATATAACATGGACCATAATAGCAGCTATGATAAGGATGGTATGCAAAACCCTGATTAGCACATACCATTTTTTGGTTTTTGTTTTTTTTGGCTGATGGTTGGTTACGTATTAGTTGCAGAACTATATTGTCTTTATTAGCTTCTCCTTAAGGTAAGCATTATCGTTACTTTGGATAAAGGAATTGTTAGGTCTCATTAGTATCCTATATGGACTGTGTATAGGTTGATGATGATGTGTGTTTGTGAAAGGTGGTGCAGGATAAGGTGGTGCTCAAAGGTGCTAAATATAGCCTATACATTTCAAATATCACACCCAAGATTTACCTCAGTTACCTCTCAAAGGACTTTTTCCTCCTTGATTTAATCCATAAGGACTCAACCATTCATAGATAAATATTGACGCTCCTGTCGCATGTACACTGAATAACAGGATCAAACACCAAGCTGGATAGTCGTATGGTTCTGAAAAGAAAAACATGTTCACATTTCACAAAAGAGTAGACTTGTGCATCCTGGAGCCCTTGTGGAGAACAATTTTCAGGTGAGTCTACCGTATCACAATTTGCAAGTCCGCAAGAAAAGTACCACCCTTATAATTCAACCAGTTGACTCTTACCCAAAAAAGCTGTGGGCGAAATGGCTCCTTCTCTAAGAGAAACGATGATGGTGATACCGGTTTCTAAAAATGGTCCCGAAAAGTCTACTACTTGACTTCTTTCTGGTGTGATTTTTAAAGACGTTATGGCCATATCGGCAACTTTTTTCTGTAAAGCTCCTATAACACCATTCCATTCACCAGTTTCCTGAAATGTGGACAATATTAGATGGGAATTATGAGACTTTTTAATATGATTATTTAGATAATATACTTTGAATTGAAATTAACAACAGCTTAACTAAACGATACAGAAAGGAATATCCCGCGGCTTCCGTCTCAAAATTACGCGACAAGTCAAAAAAGCATTATCCAATGACTATACCTTCAAAGTCAAATAGGGTCATTTTCAATTGCAGATCTATTGCCTAATTGTAAATGTTGTGTTGGCAAATGGAGTCCTTATCTAATGAAAATGTGTAATGCATAGTGTATTGCCTCTGTGTATTTTCCCACACATTGACACACTGACTGTAATAACTTGTGTCAAGTTCCTTTAAAAAATAGTTGTGACAAAAGCACTCGAGAAAATAATCATTATCATGTTACAAATAAGACAGTATCGACAATCAGTTAATTATCCGATTCTGTGGACAAATTACTTAGTTACTTAAATTCCTGAAACAACACTTTATGGTTTCATTTTCCGATAACTTTCCAAAACGATAAGTAGCTGTTCATCAAATTACTTAATTGTCTCTTTTAGAATAACCGCGTTTCCCTAAAATTGTTTCTAGTCACAAGACGATATCTGATGAAATTTCAACTGTTTTGCAGCATCAATGTTTTTTATCTGGAAATTCGTAGGCTCATATTAACATGGTTATAAAGTCTGATCAAAATAAAAGAATTTAAACGAAAAGATTCAAAAGAAGCTGTCCTGATGAGGATTATATAACCGACATACAACCGACATACGTGTCGACAGCATCGGATGAGCTTCAGTCAATTCAAGTAGAAGTATGTACCTCTTATTGAAGTATTTTTTTAAATATCAATATTGTTGTCAAAAAGATGAGTTAATACTGATTACTGAATGTTATAGTGTAAAAAGCGATAATCGGATTTTAATCAAATGAAAATTATTTTCCAGTCGCGGACAGGAGGAGATCGTCATTTCATTTTTTTAAGCACGCACACGCCCCTGCATTAATAATTGAAAAATACTAAGAATTTATCCCAATGCCACTTAAACGTGTTTCAGATGAAAAAAATCCCTATCTGAAAAGCTGGATTGGGTAACTTTCGAATAATGTGTATAAAGCTAACTCAGTGAGCGGGAGCAAACATGAGTACAGTGGTAGCACCAGCCTCTCGTGACGGGGGTACAAATAGATGGCAGACTGAATTAATAAGGGTGTAGGAGGGGAGAGGGGGTGGAGATTCAAAATGCGGAAAGCTCGAGCCCCTCATGGAGCATCTGAGAGAGTTCTCCCCCCAAAAATTATTTATCAATCAAAATTGAATTGATTAAGTGCATTCTTACCACTATAGTACGGTTTACGTGAATGCCACAAGTATCAAAGGTGTTCCACCTTGAAATTTCGAGCGGAGGCATACCTCCATTCTTTTTTACGATCTCAATTTTAGGTCTAATAAACCATGTACTATTCATTTGATGAGGAAATAACTAAAATTCCTTGACAAGATTTAAGAGACAAATTCTTTACCTGATTCTCTGAACCGAACTGCCCGTCTGGCATCTCAAATAGTTCGTAATCAAAATCTAACTGTTGAGCTAGAGACTTCAGCAAATCAATACTTAGACCCGCACAACATTGAATTATTGTGGTGTTTCCAGTACGTCTGCAATTGAAGAGGTTATAATCTTTTTAAGAGGTCGGAATTCGTGTCTTGCTTTAAATATTCATTAATCCACAATAAAATCTCGTAAAAAACATTATCTCGATCGATCTAAATAGAAAACCACATTAAATATTTTTTTGTCAGTTATATTCCTTAAATTGCATGTGAAATTGTGGTAAGAGCTAAATCACCCGGCGGTCCACTAACTAACAGTTTATATAAAGTGCTTGGACATTTTCTTCAAGATCTGTCGTAATCGTTATCTATCATACTATCTGAACATTAAGCAATGTCAACTCATTATGGCAAGATGCAGCAATGTTAACAGCAAGTACAAAAAAAAGAAACTATATTTTACAAAGATAACAAGTGAGGTTCATATAAGATCCTTTCTACCAGCTGACCTTTGACCAAACCTCTTGGTATTGATCTTTCGTACCCATTTGCAGCTGGGTTATCTGGAATTATGATTGAAAGTCATCAGGCTTTCACACGCCGATTGAAATTGGTACCCAGAGTAATTACATGTAATGTTGTGGAGCTCAAAACTAAACAAAAAGTCTAATGAGTTCAACTTGAGAGCTGTAAACTATTGGCTACATATAATCATCAGCAAAGATATACATTATTTATGCATGTATACACGACTTATACTGTAAAGCATAGACACTTTAGACTTACATGTTAGTATTTTCATCTCGAGGGTAAACCTTACACGGTATGGACCCAACTTCACATTCACCTTTGTCATTGAAATCTCTATATACCACGTACGGTTCTTCTTTCCAAGTTGCTATCCGGAGGAAGTATCTTGCTGGTTTACCTTTAGGAGGTCCTGATGCTTCACCAGGCCATGTGATGTCCTCCATTACTAGTCCCAGAGATGTAAATTTACCAACCTGTTAAAAAAAAACAACAAAAAAAGGTTAAAGGGGGTATCACTATAGTAAATATTGTACTTTATTATTTTCCTTTTCTGTAAAATCCCTTCTCAAACTTTTAGCTATTAACTAAGAGAAAATATTCCATTTTGCATTTTCTATTTTATCAATTCATAACGCCAACAGTTTCGTGAACATCAAGATGGTTCTCTTATCTTTATACAGATAAACTGTACTTGAAAAAGGTTAATCATTTACAGAGAAACGTTTTGCACGTCTAAAGGTGAGAGTAGGCGTGGTACGGTGCACCAGGCCCGTAGACGGACTTGATGTTTAGAAGGGCAAGTGATATATCTGGAGGGGAAATGATCTGTTGGTATTAAGTTGCAGTATTGGAATGCTGCCAATAAAATATAAGATTTACCTCAACAAAGTCTCTATGTATTGGTCCTTTCCTCTGTATATTCAAAACAGTAAACTCTGTAACTTTTAAAATTCCATTCTCTGTAAACTGAATGGGATCTGTGCCTCTTTTAATGACATTTTTAAGGTATCTACAATAAAGTTAGTTTTGTTAATACGCATCATCAGCAATCAAGCAGTGTAAGCCATGTTGTCTCTCTGGAGTCGATAAACATTGTCTCAGAAAGGCATCTGGTGTAGAAGGGTGGAAATAGATTTAAGATCTTAAATCTAGTAGCTAAATTACATTTAGCTTTTAGGAAAGAAGTCTGCAAGGTGGGCCATAGCATGATGATACATATTTTGGGACTATGCCTTAATATGCATCAACCAGAAATTGTCAGATCATGAAAACAATTGATGACGTATATATACAAAATATATTTCATCAAGTTGGCTTCAGGTCAAGAATAAGCTTCATTTATAATTTCTTAATATAAGTGAATATTCCCATCCACTGTAATTTAATTCAATGCATTTCATTAGAAACAATATTCATGCCAAATTGACTCAATACAAAACTGTCTGTTCAAAACGAGATAATTTCTATTCAGCCAACGAAAATAAATAATATGGCTTTAAGTATGTATTTATTTGTGTTTTTAGACCATGAAATAAATATTTGTATGCTCTCTATTCATATACGTTGAACAATTTAAACTTGCAGCCAAATAGAAAATTATTATTGGAATCATGTATGATTGTTTTTCAAGGTTTTCGTTTAAATTAGAGAAACTACATTATCATGTTACGTAAATCGCATGAATATATCAGTTCGGGATCATCGCTTTTAAATATCTAAAAGTTAATGGAGTCCATAGAACCTTGCTATTTTCACAATAAAAATATGACGCCAGATTCAACTACAATCGAATGAAAATGTAAGTAACGCACTGCTGTAACACACGGAAGGTATCATCAGAATTAGAAGACGTCATCACCTACATAGCCTTTTTATGTAATTGAGATCGAACCAGAAGCCAGGACATGTATTCTCGAAACGATCTTAGCGATAGGATGTCCTAGGTTCTTATCTTCTAACATTGATTCTAGGACATCCTAGCGCTAAGATTGTTTCGAGAATACGTGGCCAGGATTTATTCTGGTACAGATTCCCGATCATTGTGTTCAAAAGATGTTACGTCTTTCGCAGCAAAAGTCAATTAAGAATGTTTACCTGTGAACAACTTCACCATCTTTCCAATACAAATGACTACTGTCGTTACAACTAATATCTGGGGTTAAATCTGCTGTTGCTGTTATTCGTTGTCTTGCCATCAACTTTAACCCTTCCATCCAGATATCTACCGCCTTATTTATAGTTTTCTGCATTGCTTGTAGGTTACTCTCAAAGTCGATAGCTGAAAAGGTACAGAAGTGTATAAGTCAATTGGTAGAAATGTATATGGTCTATAGTAGAATCATTACATTTTTAGCTTCATACATATTTTGGATAAAATGAGTTTGACCTCTTCAATTTGTACAGGCCCAGAGTGATCCCGATACTTCATCAAGGTATTTTGTTTTGACCAAAATATGATTTTTATACTTTTTTGCCCCAAATACATGTCAGAATGCATCAAATTAATTCTTGTTTTCAAAATTTTTCCGGGAGAAGATCCCTCAGAGCCGCATGGGAGGATTGCGTATTTTGGTTCTTAAATATCTGCAATCTCATCCCCGACAGTTGTAGTAATATCTGATGAAGAGCATTCCTTCCAGATAATGTTATACTGTTTTGGTGAAGTTACGGAGAATTGTATGATTTAGAACATCATTATCAAACGAAGTGAAATCTGTTTAAGGACAATAAAAATTCTAAAAACATTCTGATCAAAAGCAGAAACATTCTTTCAAATGTTTCAATCAGTCGCACGAACGGCGATCAGACGATCAGACACTCAAGTACTATTTACGACATGAAGATAAACATCAAGCAAAGTTTAATCTATAACATCCCATTTGGTTTGTAAAGGCAATTTGTTTTATAACATTTAGAGTAGATTCAAAAGCAATGTCTGGTTATAGAAAAATTTCTCAGAGAACATTCGAATCATAATGTAGAAGCAATGATTGATTTCATTTCAGAACAAAGTGACCGAACAATGTCTTCTTTTTAGATGCAAATGAATATATCAGTAGAAAGAGATAAGGTGTTTCTTACCAGAAATTGTTATTACATGCAAGTAAAACATAAATATATATAACTTATCTCATACTTAAAGAATATTACTCAACATTTAATATTTGTAACTGTTTCTTGTCACTTTTATTTCATTTATTATGAATTCATAACAATTTTCAGTAGGCTTATAATTACATAGAGAGGCAATGACTTAAACGTTGTGTTTCAGTTTATGAGAAAACGTCTACACAATAAAATTGCCATAATTTAATTATTTCTCTCGGGAAAATCATATCAAGAAAAGAACAGAAGAGGAAATTATATGTAATGACACCCAGGAGCTGCGGTTTTCAATAAAACAGATGCTTAATATGATTAATTGACAAGATAAAACAGACGTAATTAACAATTAACTAATGCTTAACCAACGGTAGTTAGTTAGAAAATGTAACCCGCAGTCATGCGTCTACTGTAAATTAAGAACATGCCAGCCAACTGCTTTGAGTAGTGGAATTTATATATAATTGCACATGTATTTCTATATCTCTCTACAATTATTGATGTATTGAGTACTATTTCAAAATTAGTTCTTTTTATTGTTTATAGCTCCTTATTATAAGTAGACCACTGTCTTTTAAACTGTTTCAACCATTGGAACCATTTCTCATTGCACATGTATGTAGATGCTCTTTGCAAGAAATTACAGCAATTATTCTGCCTTGAGATTCAACTAACCCTCGGTAAAAGAAAAGTCCGAAACCAATAACTAAATAAATGGGACAAGTTTACAAGATGCATTCACACGCCTTGATTTATCGTCCCATCCGAACTACTAGACGTATTTTCTATGTCAGCCCCTCCGATCTTTATTGCTGGTCATTTGGTATGGTATGATCTCGACCCATGTCAGGATTGAACCCTTGAACCACCAGCTTATAGATATATCTTTACTATCAATATTGGTACAATAATTATATAGCAATAACTATATTATAACTATGCTGAACTTTAAATACGAAACTTGATATTTGATTATTGGTACAAACTTGCTTTACGATCAATTTAATATACCTCATTAATTGTAATGATTACTTAAAAAGTTATTTAATTTACATTGCCGAAATTCCTGACGAATCATTTTGGTGCTTGACGTTTAACGGATTAAAATCTAATCAAATATTCAGCGTCTATGTTAAAACTTCAATTTACGTTTCTATGCTACTTGTATATGTGTGTATCGGGGACATTGATTTACCATCCGATAACTGCAGTTTCTGAAAATTTCTCTAGATAATTACGTAACTAACTAACGCAGAAACGATGCAATCCAAATATCTCTTCAAACTGTTAATTTGACAGTATAAATTGAGTGGAAGCGAATGAGTCAATCCATATCCACTCTCAAAATCTGGGGCTTTGACACATGTTTGTCTTGCCATGATTTGAATCTGATAGTATCATGACGATTTAATTCGAGCCTACTCAGCTATATATACATGTAATTAAATGCAGTTTAGTCAAAATTACGTCTAATTGCCGGATAATAATGTGTATTATATGTATATGTATACATGCATCATCAAATCTTCTCATTAAGGTTTTTTATGTGTGGACAAGGTTCCGTATGTCGGTTAATTATTATTTTATATCAAAATAAAACGCGAAAACAATGTACTTTATATTCGCTCACGTAAGAGGAAAAAGCTTTCACGTAAAAATATTTATCAAAGAAATGGGGAAGAAATGCATTTCTTTAATATACCTAATCTTCTGAAAACATCTCTGTAAATACCCAAGTTCTAATATAAAAGCTTAGCATGATATGAAATATAATTGAATACCGAGGGTCTGTCTGGCGTCAACTAATTGACTTTAATTGAACATACCACCAATTTTTATACCATCGTTTCCGTTTCGTGCGTTTACTTGATAAGTGAATGCTGATAAAATTTTACATTCTCTCTTTTTACAGATGAATACTTCACTTTTATTATCGCCCACTTCTCAAAGCTATTAAATATAAGAGCAGAACTCATGATGTTTTATCTAGATGTATATTAAAGGGAGTGTGTGCGCCAGCTTCAGAATACCAAAAATTGTGTGGAAATTATTTGAACTTCTGTATACACATATTCCAGAGATGCCACGAAGTCTGTAAAGCAACTGCTTAAGCGCATCGTATGGCTGTGTGTGTTCAAATCGTAACACCGTAATTTGACTGTAAAATCTTAATCATTAAGACAAAATCGGAATGATTGGCATTTCTGAGGTTTTTCCATTTATGACAGTTGTAGAGAGTACTGTATTCTGAGTAATATTTGTTTGTTAAAGTTTCTAAAGTATTACGATTTCATAATTTTTCAATATTTTATTTAGTTTTAACTCTATTGTGAAAGAATTTTATAATTATTTCAAAATATGCGTTATCACTTTAATGTACAATCGTGTAGAAGAATAAAACTGAGTAAGAGGTATGTTTATATTGGGTAATCTTTATTATTTCTGTATTGTATTAATGTCTCATTTCCCAAACTGGAACAGTGATAATCAGTAAATACAGAAGAGAAGCGAGGGATCAAAATTGTTAGAACCAAGGATTTAACTTATTCACATTACATGAGGGGTCATATGGCACTGTATCTGGTTCCAAATAGGATCAAAATCAAATTCTTAAAATCACTTTTTTCAATGTTAGTCTTTAAAGAACATAATCACCACACGATTTTAAGAATTCATACAATCCTAAACCAGATACATATTTACACCTAGCGAATTTCATATTATTCCAAAAGCAAAACCATAAAGGATTATTGGCTTTAACAACCAGTAATTATGTTTACTTACCGAAGAGACCAAAGGGAAAACCGCTGTAAGCATATCTTGCTCCCCTTGCGATTGCTGAAGATGTGATCACCCAAACATATTCTTTACCAGTTAAACCAAGTTCTACTGCTATATCAATTATTTCTTTAGAATCACGACTAAAAATAAAGATAGCTTTGATAAAAGAAGGACACAGTTTATTTATCAGATTATGTGTGCTATAGATATCTTGGTTTTTCGGATCTTGTCTGGAGTTCTTTAATGTACACAGCCTGAAGTACATAGAATTTGGGCCAAATGTCACCACCAAGACCAGTCCGACCAACCTGTATCAATGACGAGCGGAGCTAGGTCAAAAACTCGATCTCTGTAAGACTTGCTATACTCAAGAATGTGATTACATAAAAATCCAATTAAAGAAAAAAACAGCAGAAGCACGAGCTGTAGGTATTTTACAGAAAGTTTGTAATGAAGATATATCTTTGTGTAGACAGGCCTCGGGCGTTTTATAATGGCATGATAAGATTAGCAAATATTAGACATCAAACCTGTTTATCATAACACATTATATATAGATGAGTACAAATTTCATTATCATTATAAACAACAACTGTGAACGCTGAAAGGAAATTACTTGATCTGTTGCCAAAAATACCCAACATTGGGGTGTATGCTTCAGTTTTGTTGTTTCATTAATGTTTTCTAATTCATGCAATTTTGAAGATATGAACTTGCACATTGTGCTGGTCAGGAGTCTCAACTTCGCTTCAAAGTCAATTAACCCAAATATTGATTCCAGCCATATATAAGAACACATCCATTTGCCATTTTTAGACACCAAAACAAACGTACATGAAATCGAACACTATACGTCATTGTGATCTAATAAAGATGAAGACTTTCTGCATTGTGTAATAATCGTCAGAGAACAGTGGATATGTATGTCAACATGTTTTGAAAAGTTGGGAGTATGTATAAGCCGAAGGTAGTAATAGCTTGACATTGTGAAGGTTTTAATATCATAGCGTACTAACTTACCTATCTGAATGTAGTAAGATAACTCTGGAATCCGTTTCAAATAATTCTTTCAGTTCTTTACGAGATCTAGACGTATTTTTGGGATGTTTCAATAATATTGTTGATAATAGTTTAAATCTGAAATTAAAAAAAAAACATTTAGAAATTTCCATGTCAAATTTACCTTATTTTAATCTATATATCTAAAGAACAGTAGTGTTCGATACAAAGCTTTTGGCGATGACCATTTGAATTCTACGCGCATATTGACTTCAAGAAGTCATCATTCTCTTCAATGCTTTGACCTAGCTACAACCATACAAAACTATAGACATTGTAAGTTGATGGACGACATGACAACAACTCGAAACGTGATATCTGAGTTTAGGGAGAGATAAGATATCATTATTCAAGATCATGCTGGTCAAGTGCTTGAATCCTGATATCGACGACCAGAAAACCACTTCAAGCTTAAAAAGATTTTGATAGCAAGTCGAATAATTTTATTTCGATACCAACACACCTGATACCAGACATCGACTTGGTTTGTCAACTTCCTTTCGGAGAGTACAACTAACGACTTATTTGGACTTTTGATTAACCGAGGGTCACGCTGATAATTCAGCGCACAAGACAATATAAATCATTTTTATGGCCATGCAACTCTTTTTACGAAATGTCATCCATGCTTGCTTTTATGGTGTTCAATAGAAATAGTATATCATATGATAATCACGTAACTTAATTCTTCGCCTTAATATCACTTTTTCCCACAAATCCATCTAATGATAGACATAATAATATGATGTTCTCAATTTATATAAATTATTTTCAATTCGTTAAAATCTTCTTCCCTCTTAACTCAAATTAACTAACGTTCTAAACGGTGCAAATCAATTAATATTATATAAATACATGTAACTCGGGATCAATTTAGGAAGTGCATTTCAATATAATTTGATTCACTTCAAAGAAGTTAAAATTCTGACATTTCCTTATTCAGCTACATTAAGACCACAAATTAACCTTTAGTGAAATGGGGCTATTTTAGATGTAGGCGACGTGGTATTTGTGGTATATTGAGTTTTTTTTCTGCATTTTTTAATAATATACTAATAGTATTCAAGCAATGGCGGCGCCAATTTCAACAAATTTAAAGACATGCTTTTCATACGTTTTTTGTCAAAATATGAGTCAGAAAGCATCAATAAATTCTATTTTTTAAAATAAAACCTTGAAGAGAACCCTCAAAGATGCTCAGATTATCATTTACACAGAACAAATGCTGACCAATTCAACAAGGTCAATGGAAAAACGATGTAAGTATTTTCTTTGCCATGCAAAAACACAATAATTACAGCTTTCAACAATACTCTATTGCATATTCTATTGATTTTTACCGTTATTCTTAAGAACCACAGACACATCTAAATTTGACAAATTATCATTCAGTCTACAACAACGGAAATGTTAAAGAGATCATACACATCATTAGAACGTCAAGAAGAAACATGTTGGAGCCAGTTACATGTTATAGTCTGGAATGTATTATAATAGCTAAATGGAAGCCGGTGAAAACATAGCGGAGGGTAAATGATATATTTTGAATTAAATTAAATTCATGTCAAGTCAATATCCACAAGAAAAGGTCGTCGTATCCTTGAAATATTAAGGCGGAGGGTTATCATATTGTCGGACTTTATTTGTTTTCAGAAATTGCGTCACCCAAAGTTTAAAATCATCACTGAAATCAGCTCTCTCATAAAACCTGTCTCTGATAAGTTAACTATATTGTTAAGTTTAACGTCGGATTTTTATAATAAAAAAGTGTTACAGGTATATTACCTTGTATGCAAATTAAGCAACATTTCGTAAAGCGTTAATAACTTAATAAGCAATCGAGATGAATTGGAAGACAGGGAATATATATGTGACGCTGCAAAGTTCTCTGAATATTACGACCGGTTCTATCACAAATGATTATTGGGTCGTTTGAGATTTTAATAATTCCAGATACTAATAGTATATTTTTTCTTAGGTATATTGGCTTTTTGGGCTAGGTTGGGTTTTTTAATAATTGTTTTTCAACGCTTCTACCAGTTAGCTGTACATTATGATTTCAAATTCCGCTTGTGTGGTTTCAACAGACGAATCACTACTTCATCAAATACCATCATAACCATTTCCTTTTGAAAGTTGAAATTTAAATTTTGTTATCAAAAATGTATTAATACTTACTTAAAATTAGGTACACCACTTGCTGAATATCTGGGTATTTTCTGACTTTCTTTGACCTGTGCTGTCAAAGAACTAATGAATTCTTCGTGCCCAGGAGCTGTTGTTGAAACTATAGAAAAATCCGTCCAATTATATCTTTTTAATAAACTTAACATTACTTGCGTCTGATGAAAAACTGATGGCGCTATTTGTAATGTTCGGGAATCATGGCGGGGCTGAAAATAAAAAAATAAATAGTAAAAAATTGTAAGAAATAGAATGAAATTGAGTAGAGCGAGGGTTGACTGAAAAGTTTTAAACTTTAGTGGAATATCTCAATCGTATTGAAATAATCTTTCCACCTCACACTCATTTATTGAATCATAGACATAAGAACTGTAACTGTAGTGTAATTATTGCCTTTGTACCATACCATATTGCGAATCTACCAATCTCCACAATGCCAACGGGTTTTGGTTCACAGATGCGCCCTTTCTTGACCAATCATTCCTTAGTCTCAGAAACGAGAATATTTTTTTAGCTAAGCCAATCAGTAATAGTGTTCACAGTTCATCGTCAAATCCATGTGTGGCCAGTTGATGAGTCGTCTTTTCTTGAGACACTATCATATAGAAAAGACATCTGTGGACATAGGAAAAGAAATTCCTAGCTTGAGATATTTTTAAGGAATTATTCGATTTTCGTACATTTCTATTTCTTCTGAAGACTATTTACATATATTCAAGACTTAAATCTCCCCCCCCCCCTCTCTCTCTCTCTACCCTCTCAAAATGGCGCAGCTGTTCCTGTAAAGAGAAAATTAAGAAAGAGACCCTTGAGTGAGGATGTGAAAACAACACATTGCTAATACTGTCGTCATCTAATATCTGCTATGACAAAACATATTGGAAAAATTCTTTGGTTCAATAAAAGGAATATTGAGTGAAGTTGAACGTGAATTGGTTATTGTTGAAATTAACTCATTTTCTTGCTAATAATTGCATTGTTTGTCACTCTTAATCTTCTTTCTAATTTGTCATCATCTCATTTTATTTATTTTCTCTCGGATCAATTTTAATATCAGTTTTTATCTTTCTTGACATTATTTGACAGAATTCTGACTTCGGAGCAAAAAAGGCTATGCTCTCGGTCGATGAACTATTTGAAAAGTTCTTGTGTCACAGTTAAATACATGGTGAAATGACGTTTGATTCAGGTACATGTATTAGACTTTACATATTTCATTCCACAAGCCCACCAAATTATTCCAAATTAACCAAAGATCACAAGAAAGATTCGTCAGACTGATAAACTCAAAGTGTACAATATTCTCATCGTATATCTAATGTATATTTTGTAACTCAGTTTGAAATGAAATGGTGGTTTACTCTCACGTTCCTGAATTGCTAGGACGACAAGTCAATAAGGGCAATAATGTTATACATTTCGTTAGCACTACGGCGTTAGCTTCTTCTTGTCCGATTATTATCGTCTAATTCGAGACAAAAAGCTTTCCAAAGTCACCAGTCGACGTTTAACAGAATTGAAAAATCCGAAGGTACTATCCCAATATATACCTAAAAGGAACCCCCGACTATCAATAAAACTTAGCGTTCTACTAAATAAACTTAAAAAATATCGGCAAGAAAGTAGGAGAATTCGTTCTTTCATTTCATTTTAAGGTTCTCTTTTCAGAACGGTAATCGCAGACGAGACATGCCATCATATTTATAGTATTACATCAAAACCTTCAGGCTTCATAATCATTATGCTCATTGGAGATTATGACTAATGCAAACCAATATGTAGACAGGAATTAATTCATCTTAAGAGGAAAGATAATGCTACTTATCCTGTAATTAGCAGGAGTATAATTATGGTAAATGTAAAACGCCCCATAATACAATTCTTAATCTCTTAATGAAAACCAGACATAGGATTCCTCTATATTAAACTATAATGAACAAAGGAAACAAAACAAATGGAAGTTATAATGGTTTAACTTTTATTTCGAATTTCCATACTAAATGTTGCTGCTTTCATAACATTAATTTCATTAATTCCTTGGAACGCTTCCATCGTACATTAATAGCAGAAATTCTTAAACAGAATCTGAATTATGTGGCTGGAAGCATTTTGATCTTCAACAACATTCAGATCAATCGCTAGATTCAGTCCACCTGAGAGCACCGGCGGCTGAAAAAGTACAGGTCTTAGTTTATTAAGCGTATATTATTATATCTTTAACTCAATAATTTGGAAAAGCCTGTGTTTAGGACCAGTGTATTTATCTCGAGTTGTCTTTCGCCGGATTGATTTAGTTGACATCAAAGCATTGGCGGCTGAAAAAAGAACATTTCTTAGTTATGGAACACATTATGGCACTACGACTTAAGCCAGTACTTTTATACTGACATTTCTTTATTCAAAGTCGGAATAATACAGTCTGATTACCAATCTGCCAACTCCAGGTGTCAACTGTACCATCAGTACATGATAATACATTGAGAAACACGATATTTCCTATAGTCATTATCGCGTGACCCGGTGAGTTAAACGCTTGCTGGCTAACCCGAACGTCAAGAACTAGATTCCGACATGATACATTGGGAATCGTTATCCTTTTCTCCTACTACCATTGATACAGAAAAAAAAACTCTAGTCGTCCTGATTGGACAGTAAAACCAAACATGTGCGCTAGATGCCGAACACGATAAAGATCCTTCGACATCGAAAACAGAAAGATTACAAGTTCATGCTACTATCACAGAATTGCATAGGGTTTACGGAGGGGTAAGAATTTCCCGACGGGAACGTCAGCATGGTTATCACTTATCAGCTTCAAAATCAATTAACAGCGTTGTCTGACAAAATGCCCTGAATAGAACATTCTTTATCTATTCCGTCTTCATCAAGTTCAGGATAAACTGAGGTGTAGAAAGCGAGGACTTGTCCGATTACGGAATGGAGGTTTGTTTCAAATACGCTAGATATTTTGTTGAATGAATTTTTAAAAACTAAAATTATGACATGAAGAAAAACTGATCGACTGGATATTGTTACCAAATTTGTGGAGACAGGACAATGAAAATTACTAGTAACTTCGTGACTTCTGATCCACTCTAATCCTACGCACCTGTCCAATTCATTTGGCTTTATTGAAGCCTCCTTTATTCCACCTTTAGATAATGACCAGCCCAGTTTCTGTACTTAACAGAATCCGTTATTATTGGGGGATTTGTTTGGGCTATTAATTATGCAATCTTTAATAATGTACAATTTGATAATATCCAGGTGTCAAAGATAAATCTATCTTACGCAGTATTTGAAATAACATAATTGCTATTACGCAATAAGCAGTGGATGAAATGATTTTTGTCTTGAGATGCTTTTTCACTAAACTTGAAGTTTCATAAGATCATCGGTCGAGATAATACCTTTTGAATTATCAACCACGTTTCCCCATCTTAGTGAATCAAGTTGGAGGGGTTTAATCTCGTCGGAACTTCGAGCTACAGACGGTTGATATGAAAGATTCCTCGACAGGTGGACATTTAACAAAAGCACACTCATCCAGCTGTCCTTGCCAAACTTCCCTCTTGATACATTGATTTTCCGAATCATTTTGAATGTAAAAGCAGTCCATATCTTTTGAGAAATGTACAAGCTGCAGTATAATAACATATCCTTATCGTTATACCATTAAATGCCAAATTCTTGTATTACAGATGAACACTGGGAGAATAATCTATCTGTATGTGATGTACTCATAGTAAAATGGTATAGTAAAAGTTATTCCTTTAATTTTCTTGAGTTGGAACAGAAATAGAAGCCACGCGGTCGGGACCCTACTTATTGTTTTTCACACGATCATTTAAGTGGTATTTCTTTCTAGAAAATTAACAGAAAAAGGATGTATATTCCATACTCATAGGAGGAGAGGTCAGACAAGAATATAAATGTATCAGAATAAGAAAGCTTATGTCAATAATCTTTGTATATCGTGTCTGAGTGTTATTGTGTTCAATGCATTCTCTTACAATTTGAATAAGCGAAACAACGTTTGCCTAAAAGGGTTAGGAAGGTGACGCATTACAGCAATTTAAAGATACAAGTTTTGACCTTAGATCTAGAATTGGTCAGAAAAAGTGAAACGATAAACTTGACCTATCTAGTCATGTTTTGATATTCATCTAGTAATGCTCTGATATTCATCTAGTCATGCTCTGATATCTATTTAGTCATGCTTTGATATATATTTAGTCATGCTCTGATATCCGCCTAGTCATGCTTTGATATCTATCTTGTCATGCTTTGAAGTCTATCCAGATCATGCAAATATATACCTATTGTACAAAGCACGGCTGTAAATTGGCTGTATAATTTTCTTAACCTGTATCAGCAATCTACTAGACTATTAAATTACTGCTGATTTATATTATTAGTGAGATCAATAACTTCTGTTAGTAATCAATAAGAATTAATACCAATAATTCAGGTAAATACCCCACTTATCAATACCATATGTGCCAAAATGCACCGACTTCTATGGCAATTTATTGTCTAATTTAATGTATTTTGGCAACAAGATCAACGTGTAAACATTTTCAGACCACAACACATCCAAGCTGACATTTTGTGATGATAATGGCATTACTCAGTGGACTACTTTTCGGCACATGGAGTAAATATGTAGTAAGGCGTTTGAACTTTCATCTTAAGGTTAATCGGAAATATCGGGAAAAATTGTTTGTACTGACATCGAAGCCTGAAGATCCAATCGCAACCTGAGTTCGTCATACGAGTGTTAAGATTGGTGATAAAATACAGGGTTAAAGAATCCAGATGATACCTTCGGATTTGTCAACCTAGTTTTGCCTTGTTAGTCATACTATTCAGAGGAGCTGGCATTGAAAAAGGTCCCCAACTTACGGACTGGACAAAAAACTGTGGCTTCCCGTGCCTCGTTAAAGATAATTCGATAGTTAGGAGTTGAAGCTCTAACCAAATGTGAAAAATCTACCAGGCACTTGCTATTTACTTAGCTCATGACGAAAAATATCCTGAGATGATTCTGGCAAACTGTGATATTAGTTTCTGATCAATGAACAGGAAATTGGGCGATTAAGATAATTTCATTTATTCACAGCTCGCTATATTAAAAATAAAGGTCGCTCGATTCTCGAGCTACGGATAACATTTAAATACTATTCAGAGCTCATTAGCAAAAATCAATTAACATGGCAATCATACATAGTGTTAAACAATCGTGTTTATGGAAACAGCAACACTGAATAAATGCTAACATTTATATAAGTGGAGCCCTATATAGAGATATCATGCAACGTTAATGACACTTAATGATCTGTATTTTCATATTATACACATCAAAGCAATTAATTCCTCATAAAAATTATGCTAACATTTACATTATCTTAAATGGCAAATATTTAGAAAAATTCTCCCAGGAACCATACAGAGTTTGTTTAGATACCAAGAGAGAAAGTATGAGAAAATCATTATGTAATTAAGCCTCTGATCATTTACATGTTCATCGACCTCCTTGGCAAGTCTAATTGTCATTAAGATCGAGTTAAATATTTGAACGGTAGTGTGTGTTTCAAATTCAGTGGCGGCGTCAGTGGAGGAATAGAGGAGAGCGGGGGACTCCCTAGAAAAATGATTTGTACCCCAGGTTAATTTTGAACAAGTTTGGTAATAAGATTTTTATACGATTTTTGCCTCAAAATATGTGTCAGTTGAATTCAATTGAATTCAATTTTTCGAACATTTTCTCGAGAGAAACACTCAGTAGAATTCAGTCTCGACGATTGACCTCTAATTGATTTGTACACCCAATAGTGGGAGGCTGGCACCGCCACTGTTTAAATTGTGACTAAATTTCCACATATTGGATTTTTTTTTGTCATAATTATGTACTATATTACAAGGGAGATATATTACTTACCTCTAATACACCAGCAAATTCAGAATCCCAAGAAATCATTGGTAATCCAAGAACATGAACTAATTGATTAATATATCTATTGGCAGGAGCTCGTGAAGGAAACGCACTAGGATTATTTACATGAAATATCGTAATTGGATTTGATGTTGAACTTTGGTCACACAGGGCATTCAATATCTCATCGGGGGTATCTTTTTCTAAAAACGTTAACTTAGTTTCTGGTCGGAACACACTGTAAACACCGCGATATTCACGAAATCGTTTGATACTAGAGCTACCCCGTAATGTTGAATATAACGTCCGGTTAATGCTGGAACTCCAGAATCTATGTTTGGGAAACAAAACGTGGAAAGTCACTGGTGTAGGTCTCTGGGAGGAGCAGTAGTCCACTGCGAACACTGAGAACACAAGCAGTGTTAACCATTGCTGAATATCCATTGTGGAAGATCTGATGGTGATGGGTGTTGAAGGAGCTGGTCAACCTTCAGCTTTAAATGCTTTCATTCTGTCTGAAAATAGAAAAGGACATATCTATGACTACACAGCAACTAAATCATAGAAATCCTTTCTAGTTGCCTTGCTTACTACCATTCTGAATTGGAGAGCTTCCTTCATCGGATGTGTCCAGACAGACGACAGCCATACTTGCCCACACTATACCAAGTTACTACATCGTATCTGAAAGGTAACATCCGTTACAACAAAAATGGAATATCAGGCAAACTAGCTTCAAGACTCTATCGAATGATTAGGTCTATTTATGGAAATGGTAGCGTTAACCCCTAAACGTCTTATAACTTTAAGTATAATGCCAACAGCCTAACGTTACACAAGTTAAACTGAAATTTGAGTGATCCTTCAAAATTTCTGAATACCAATAGAAAAGACAAATTACAAAAAATATGAAGGTTAAGAAAAAATGTAAATTAGCAACCGATTTCGTGGTAATTGATAGATTCCATTTGTCAAATGTTACAAAAAGTGTATAAGTTAGTAAATAAGCTATTAATCATAGTGTAATTTAAAATATTTAATAATTTTTAATAGGTTTCTTATGCTTTCATACAATTTATATCTTACTCTTTTATCATACTCAGACCTATTCTTCATTTTCCATCTACTTTTAGTTAATAAAAAAAATCATCCGAAATTCGTCTCGGCCATGGTATCTCCTTCTACGACAGTATTTGCGTCGTCAGCGCAACAGATTCAAGATTGAGTATTTCACCCCAAGAAACTGTGTGTCGTTTTAACAGATGCTTTTTACATGGTCATATATTCCCTGAATTCAGATGCAGCTACATTAACTATTATAAAGGATGCACAGTTCGACAACCGGAGGCTCTGCGCAATTTGATTTGCAACGTATTTGCATCTGGATTAAATCAATCTCAGCACGACATAGGCGGAAACTGCGCACCTTCTGCTTCTTGCTTCCAGTCTGAAATGGATCCGGCAGCAAGAGTCTCCTACAAAGCAATTGAAGGCAGTTTCAGCAGTCGGTATTCTGGATCTTATGTAAAGCCCACAACGTTTCTTGCAGAACCAACTGACGAATGAAACCCCTTTATGGTTGTTTAGTGCAGCTTGTGGAGCTCTGTACGTTGTAGCATGTTCAATCTGTCCTAGAAAAGATCAACAAACTATCGAAGAGATATAAAACGGAGTATTAAATTGACTATTTCGGAAACACGATATGGTTATTTCGGACTATATTCAACGATGGCTTAAGGCTTATTAAAAATCAATTTGTACTTGTGCAAAGACGAAACAAATAAATCAAATTTCATATCTATATGAAGAAAGATACAAAGCAGTCTACTCAGTTTATCTAATAACGGCTAGTATTCAAAACCATCACGGCGCTATCAGAGCATGTGTTGACCTTTATTCAATCTCAAACAGATACAATCATAACTTCTTTACAAGTTGTATTCTACGTCAGTTTACCATTCATTCATGCATAACGGTCCAACTTGCAGTCCCGAGCTTACATATACAGGTGCAGAAGCACTGTCCCATCACAACTTTAACAAAAAAACTACTCAATATCAATCCTACATCACTGAAATTTACGCCATTGGTGTAACACAGTCACGACAATTAAGGAATGAACAATGTTGATGATTTCCAAGATGGGCTTAAAACTCCGCAGAGAATTGGTACAATATTCACATATTATTCATATTATTCATTCTATATCAAACTACTTGTCAATGTAATACCATTGTCTGTAAATACCATATATGATACAGCTATATTTAGCTGTGATTGCCACGACCGGAATCCTATATACAAGCACTTCCCTTCGTTAATTCCAATTGATGAGATCTCTTAATAATTCCTAGAAAAAATAGAAATGTAAAGATAATCGTGTCGCCTTATGTCCGGATTGTATTTGTCTTTTCAACCCCTGCCTTAAAGATAATATTTCAATTTAAAATGTCAAGCAGAAAAATGCTTATCGCAGAAATCTGGTTTAAGAGCGAAGGCGTTCTATTGTTCTGTATTCGGTAAATTTGTCAAGACGGCGATTTTATGTACGATTGATTTGTCTTCCAGAATAGACAGAAATGTAAAGAGCCATTGAAGCGCTCACGTAAGAGCAGTAATATTGTAAGTTCAATAATCTTTTTCTTATTCTTCTGCCTTTATAGGATTAGAGACGGCGTTATTTCTTTTGGCAATACAACCTTGGCAAGATAGTTATAAAACGATTCTGTATAAATCCATGTGCTCAACAGCATTTGCTTTTGTAGGTTATTTTTAGCACAAAAGAGTACAAAGGATTGCCTCTATTTCTATCTTATTCGATTTTTCTCACTACTGTATAGACATAAGTCATTGTTTTACATCCGTGCAAATCCTTTCTACAGCATATTTTCTTTATCGATAATTAGGTCGAAATATTGCATTTACAACTGTTTTCAATGATTTTCGTGCTACCTTTGGATCCAAAGCATTTTTAAATAGTTTTGTTTTATACGATGCCTGAAGTAATCCGAATAGGATTTGAAAATAAAAACAATCAACCAAAATTTTTCCTGGAGGCTTTGTCAATGTTCTTTTGAAATGTGTTCCCTCTTATAGTGATCTATGAAGTCGGATAAAATTATTAAAAGACCTAAAAGTTCAAATATTAGTAATATAATTTTTTTTTTTTGAAAATTTTTCAAATATGGTTCCCACATCTGCACATTTGTTGTATAAATGCAGGTGTCGGAATCATATTTGAAAAATTTTTTAACAAAAAAAAATTATCAAATATATCATAATATTCCTTTTTTCATTAAGCGTTAATATGGTACATTGCCCAATGGCTGACAAAAGTTTGCCATATTCGTTGTATTCCAGACTCTTATAAACAAAATTACATTTCTTTTGACGTTCTGCTGTATGGACAAGAACATTGGATATTAATATAGCCTTCATACTTTTCTTTACTTAAAGTATGAAAAAGAACCAAAGCCATAACTTAAAATATCGGCGTACACCATTGACAACTATACAAGCCTTCTCTTGTGACGCTAAAGAGCCAAATAACATATTAATTTTATAAAGAAAACTACCGAGCGTACGTCATACTTATGTTATTAAAAGTAAAAGGATCCTGTTTTTTCATATTATTTCATCTACAAGCTTCTGAAATAAACGAACCCCTTTGATGAGTTGGTATTATCAAAGGAAACACAACAGCATTGATATAAGAAAAACTAACTTCAGTTGTTGATTAATTTGTCAGTCAATGCAGCTTTGGTAATATCATGTGCAATGTCATTATCCTAAGTAGAAAATCCACGTTACATTTTAAAACACTAAAAAATCAGAGAATTTATTCAAATATTTGACGCTCTTATTCCAATCAAGATCGATTTGTTTTCTTATCAAAAGGTTTCCTCTATAATCAACGCTATATCAAATTAAACGCAGAATTCAAATCATTCAAATTTGAACCAGAAATGGTTTTGATTCCATTAGAGTTGGAATTGGTATTCCAGTCTGCAACTTGGTATATCAACTGTGTATCACTAACGAGGAATCTAAATATCTAATAATGTTTGTTCAGCATAGTAATTATCAAATCTTAGAAATACCATTGCAACTGATTTTGAAAATGCACACAGAAAAAAATCAAATATTCACTGGAACACAGATAACAACTCCCAGTGGACAATGCCATAAAAATAAAATTTCGAGTCACCTGTTCTCTATTCAAAACCCACTTTCAGCGTGATCATCTGCAATAAAATTCTAGAAGCCCGTATCTCCTTTTAAATTAGAAATTTGACAACTCCGAGACAAACAATAGTTTCTTCACTTAATCGAAATCAACTTCACAATGTCAAGCTATTGCCATGACTGCAAAAGTCACCTATCTTGTATCATGGTAGTTTGTAAATGCAGAGATTTGATTTGTCTCGACAAAAAGACTGTAAACAATAAACTATGTTTTTATGTATTCGCTATCCTTCAATACAGTCAAATTGCTGCATCCGTGATACAAGAAATGTAGCTATTGCAGTCAAGGTTGACTTAACATTGTGAAGAGGAATTGAAATATGTGTGACAATCTAGATCAAATCAAGAAAGACCTTTAACGTTTTACTCACCGCCTTGTCTGACATTATATTCTAAGTGATAGCCTTTAAGTGTTAATATCGGTGACAACCAACTTTATTGATGGTATGTGCTACCAGATCATTGAGTTTCCCGGTCTTTTACAGTAAATTAGAATGTAATTTTAAGTAATATCAAGAACAAACACTTCTCTATCATTTTCAATTAAATTGGAAGCAGAATAACAATAGTTTTACATAAAACTTCCTTCTATTATTATTGGTTCATCGATTTGGTTTTAAATACAATATTCAGCAGAACTTTTATTTTGTGCTAAATTGTTATATTAAATTTTCCACAAAAACGATATAATTCTCTGTTAATAATGTTTGTAATGGATTTTTTTTTACTTTCGAGTAACAGTTTTCCAAGCCACTCCATTAAAATAGTTCCAACTGAATTGACAGGAGTAAAATTATTCTTAAATTTCGAAAATCAGCAGGTTTTAAATAATAATTTTCAAAGTGCATTGTTCTTAAAGTCCTTTTTGTCACTTCATCAGGCAAAAGCTATCTAAGGTGCGGGCACACGAACGGTCTTGGTCGACGATTTTTGTCGCCTACGGACTACAGGCACACGAAGAGACAAAAATCTCAAGTCAGTCGTTTTCCACGGTAAAAATCGGCGACCATTTTTTGAGTGCCGGCACCATTACAGGATTGACATTTTGTATAATGGATGCTGTTAAGTATTCCTCGAGTAATCAGGGAAAGATCAAAGCTTTTAATTTGCATACCGGTACCAGTCAATCCGAAGAAACCGCATGGAAATTCGGATTGCAATGGGCCAACGACAACTCGAAGATTTAAAATTTCAAACTA